AAACGGAGATAATATTTTTTGAACAGTGCTAGGGACAAAACGAAAGGAAATCGTTTGTTTATTTCTATTACCAAAATGTAAATTCATTTTGCTCACACCATCATAAAGTCAACATCTTTGTGTCTTTTGAAGATCTTTCAAGTACAGCTTTCAGCGCTCGCTACTGAATGTTTCATGAAGTAAAGCAATGGTCTCGTCCCTTTGTGCACTGCCCAGACGGCGCTGTGGATGATGTAATATCATTTTTTTCCCTTATCTTGTAACTACAGTAGAATTCTGATTTCTCGAACCCTCATTTTTTCGAGCCTCCCGATGACTCCAACCAAAAGTCGTTTCCCCTCCTCAGTCAAATGCTGTAACTTTACACCCGATTTCTCGAACTATCCGATTTTTCGAACCAATTTTCGTTACCCTTGGAGGTTCGAAAAATCAGGATTTCGCTGCAGTATCAGCTAACGACTATAGAATGTTTCTTTGGTTTTAGAATTTTTTATAACTGAAAGTTCTTCATGAGCAAGCTAAGGCGACTATGATTTGTGTGGCCAGGATAAAAATAACTCAGTGTATTCTGATTCGTTCCTGAACACTCACGTAACGCGACAAGACGGTCGACAAGACGTCTTACACTGTATTTGTAAGTTTAATTACTGTACATGAAGGAAATAAAAGAGAAATACATGCAGCAGAGCGTTACGGAATTTTGTGTTAAAAGCCAACTAAGCTTAACAAACCGGTTTGCCTCTTTTAACGCTGGCCATTTCATATACCCATCAAGATAATCCACCGTTGATTTCGTAATTTCCGTACAATTTAGCAACTATTTATTCACCTTCCTTTAAATGCATAACTCCTTAACTTGATTGTTTTTTCGTTGGAGCATTCGTGTAACATAAGCAATTTATTATTGATGTGAAACGATTTCAAAATTCTTGCTTTGTTTAGTTCACAATTAGAAACTGTGCTAACCCACGATACATTTTGAACTTGACTCGTGTACAAAAATGTTAGCCCGAGAAGCGGAAAATTAGTATGCGGCGCTAAGCTACGTGGCCGGAATTGAAAGGTCAAGACACCGGATATTATCAAATAGCGCTGGGAACAAAGCGTCTTCGATTCATAAAATCATATCGTAACCATTGCTTCTGTCAAATACCGGTATGCTTCTTTTCTTGTCTTCAGTTAAAGCAAAAGTGACTGAGACTGATTTCGGCCGCATGTTTTAAAACTGTTGAGAAAATGATGTTGAACTCCAGAGAGGTTAAGTCTTAGTAAAGTCTTAAATCATTAGCCCCAACTCCAACATCTACGTAAAACAAGGTTCTCGCCTTGTGCTCGTATTTTCACTATTTGTACTGAAACAAATAGCACACCGTTCACGTACGCTAGAAATAACCAAAATGAATTTGACTCAGCCAACCTGATCCGAGAAAGGCTTCTGGAAGAGTAATTAGCAGCAAACAGCTGACAAGTAACTTCGTTCGTCCCATTGTTGTCGTGCCCGAAGGAACTGACAAGTCAAGCGCGAAAATCGGCTCTTTTATATGACTCTTTGAATGACGAGCTCAGTGTAAACCCTGAATTTTGCTACACGCACGTGGGCGTCATCGCTAAATACAACATGTCTAAATAAGGAAACAATGCGTCATTTTAAAGCGTAAAAGGTTTTGTCCAGCACGTGCGTTTCTCCGTAACCCTCTTTGCTTTGTTGTACGATTTCTGTTTCGGGAAATGCCTTATAACCCATTTCTAAAACACTGTTGGGCCACTAGCCACACACCACGCTGGAGAAATTTGAAAATACAGCTTTATTTCTACGGTTAGGCCTACTGTCCACACCAGTCTGTCACGAAAACAACGCTCTTCGAACTGGAGGAGTTTGAAAACGCCGCCTTTGCGTTTTAGAGTGGACGGAGAACATTTTGAAAATGGAGCTTTTCGAAACCCGTAGCGTCACGATAATCATGAGATTTCTCTGCCCGGGTTCTCCTCAAACACAAATCCAAAGTGACTGGCGATTGTTGCGTTTTCAAATTTCTCCGACGTAGTGTGGACAGGGCCCTAAAGGAACTGATCGGCAACGCGGAATATGCGTTGTTGAGCAAGCGTGAGGTTTTGATGGTTGGATATTGGCGAAGTTCTTGTTTGCGAGTTCAGGGAAAGAGACGCAGTGGAGTTCACACAACACACAACAGATCACCTGCAGGATGTTTCCTCAAGACACCGATCCTGAGCGAGCCACGTAATAATCCGTTAAATTATCCTTATAATAAATTCATCTGTGGGAACTCGGTGCGCGTTTTTGTGTGGCTCACACGAAGTGTATAGTCACACCATGCCGTGGGCTTATTTATTTATTTATTTATTTATTTATTTGTCAACGAGAGTAAGTCACGTGGTCCTGTGTCGTACGGCCACTAGCCATCGTGATCTCTAGCTAGTTTCCCGGCTTTTAATTTTAAAGGTAAGTCGTTGTTGATTTTGAGCTTGGTCTTAAGTTCTGCATCTTATCATTGAGTTATTTTTTTGTAAAAAAAAAAAAAAAACCTCTTAGTCGGCGCGTTGGTGTATGTTATGGACGGGTCAATGGATGAGTGAGTGAGTGAGTGAGAGATGTATGTATGTCACTCCAATCAGATTGGATCTACTATAAACAGCCAATCAAATTTCTTGGTGTAAAGGTAAATGGTATGTGAGAAGATTTGATCCCGATAGAGTTCATAACGGCCATATTTATAAAAGAGGAGGAAGTATTCATATTTGGGTTTACTTCGACATTTTCTGTGGGTTAGGCTGAGGAGTTTAGTTAAATATTAATGAACGAGATGAGCCTTGAGGTTTGAAACAGTTCGTGAGTTAGTAGTATGCAAATGCAACGAGATATTTTTATTTTTAGT